GTCTTCTGTCCAACCTTCAGAATAAAGAAATCACTGAAATAGCATTTGTCTGACATACGGAAGAGGATTAGGGCCACTGAAAAAAAAAGTTAACTGATTTATTTTTTATTTTATTTCAGTATAGTATGGGAAAAAAGTCAGAATTCTGACTTTAATCTCAGAATTCTGACTTTTTTTTTTTTTCAGAATTCTGACTGAATTCTGACAATAAAAAAGTCAAAATTCTGAGAAAATAGTCAGAATTCTGAGAAAAAAAGTCCCATACTCCCATACTATACTGAAATAAAAAAAAATCAGTTAACTTTTTTTGTTTTGTTTCAGTGGCCCTAATCCTCTTCTGTACTGACAACATGAAGTTGGTTTGAATAATTAGATAAACCGCCTCTCTTATATAAAAATAGTGTCAACATGAGGGTGGAGGTTGGTTGAGAACCCAAATGCAGAGACGAGGGAGGCAGGAAGGAGTTTTTGTAGGTTTAATGGAGTTAAAGGGCAAAAAAAAAAAAAAAAAAAAAATCCAAGAATCAAACCCAGAAGAGAAGAGAAAACAAAGATGGGGAGCCGAGTAACAAGGAACCAACACTGACGAACTGCACAGGCAGAGTATATATGGGAGGCAGAACAAAGACTGGAGTAATCAGCTTATATGGAGCAGGTGTGGATGGAAGTGACTAGAAGGGAGCTAAGGGAAAGGAGACGGACACAAGGGGGCAACAGAGAGTAATTTAAGAGTGCTTAAATATAACACAAAATGGAAAATGAACCAAAGATCAACAAAACAGAATTACATCAAAGTCCAAAAGGAGAGAACCATAACAGATAGAAGAAAAAAAAATAAAAAAAAAATACACTAAGTCAGGCTTCCTCAATTATGGTCTTTGAGGTGTAGTGTCCTCTACTTTGATGAATTTTGTTTCATTATTTTTGCCAGCAACGAACACATTTTGTAAATTAAAAATTCAATATAAACATTAATCCAGAAACTAGACATTGTAAAAGGTTTTAATCCTAAATAGGTTTTGAGAGTAAATTTGCTGTTTTTTCAGATTTATTTTCATGAATTGCATTCTTTTCAAATTGTGTTTTATAGATCGCATCAAGCCCAATACAAAAGCTCACAGCAGACCAATAGAAATGTGCCTTCATTCCTCAACCCAGAGGAGAGCCCGCACCCAGAAGCGTATAGAATGTGATCGGCAAAATGCAAATTGAAAAGAATGCAATTCCTGAATCTCAGACTGAATATAAAATATTTGAAAAAATAAAATTTTAAAAGTAGATATATAATTTTCTTTTATTCTTTTGTATCAAAAGAATCAAAAATAATAAATAAATCTAAGAAAACAGCAAAGTTGCACTTAAAGTAGTATTACAGAACTTTTAGTTTTGTTACATTTTTGGCTCCATTTTCTTTTTGCATTTTTTTAAATTACAATTTACTAAACATGTTCTTTGCTTGTAACAATGCAGGAACAAAATTAGCTCCATACAGGTGCGGCAAAAGGAAAATAAAAGTATTGAAATCTGTAAGGGGAGAATATCCATTTGTATTATCGCCCCAGCTTCCATATCATTGGCTACGTTTCAACAAATGCAAACATACGACAGAAAAAAGGTTGTCGTGATCCATATGAAGGCAACGCTGCAGCTGGAGGAAAAAATCCTGCAGTGCTGAGTCAGAGCCTCCATTAATTGGATGATGGGAAATGTGTCAATTAGAAATTCTGTTCTTTAATTATCTGTTAATTGAAGCAATAATGTTTGTGCTCCAAGAGTTGGGAGAACAAACATGTGAATAATGAAAGAAGTAATTGCTCTTTATGAGACTGTCAGGGAAACAGAAAATAACGACATGACAGATTGCCAGTTATCTTCAGAAAGTTTGTACCGTACACTCCGATAACTGATTCAGTTTATCGACGAGCCGTAGCACATCAGCCACATATTTAAACCTTCACTGTCAAACCAAATACAAAGATATGGAATCTGTAGCAGAACGTGAAGTTCTGCACTGCAAAAAATGGAAATCTAAATGAGTAATTTTTGCTTGAATTAAGTGCATTTTTTCTTAAAATGAGGAGATAAGTGGAATTCTTTGCCAATGGAACTAGACAATTTACATTTAAAATAAGAAAAAAAAATGCTTTGTCTTATTTCAAGTGCATATTAACTAATTATCTCATTTTAGGAGTAAAAATATTCATTCCATTGGAAATCATCTTATTTATCTGCTTAAATTAAGGGTAAATACACTTGATTTAAGAGGTTTTTTACTTATTTCTAGATGTTTTTTGCAGTGTGTGTCCTTCTGTGGTTCATGCGGCCCTATGAGGTTATTTCTGGACTGATGCTGAACATTAGAATAACTCATTCCTCACATGTAGCTTCAGGGAGGAGGAGCTGCTTCCCAGAAAAGAAGGCTCACATTTCCCTCGCAGTTTTGAGGCATCTATAATCACAGTGGAAGAGGTCATTTGCAATAACATTTAACAGGCCCCAGAAGAATCAATTTCCTTTTGTCACTCAGTAGCCAATGATTGTTGTAAACATCTCAACTTGAGGCCAGGAAACCCTTGGACAGAGCATTAACTCGATGGCTGGTCGTGAATCAAATGGTCCTGTTACAGCAGCAGCAGTCTGTTAGTAAAAGCATTATGTTAAACTATGCTTCGGCTCCCCGAGCACAAAGCATCTAACGTTATAATGTCTTAAAAAGCTATTTACACCATACTGCATGGCATGTTAATATGTACAGAGACCTCTACATTCGCTACCAACACAAACATAATGATATAAAAATGCAGTAGCATGATCTTGCAATGAAAAAATGGACTAAATTCATAAGAATTCCTCATATATATAAAGTGTCCCATGTTATTGGTAGCGTCTTGGCTATTCTGATGAATATAAAGTACATGAAACTAAAAGCTTTTTTATGGAGTGTCTTTTACAGCTAATTTGTAATCCTATCTCTTGTTACCTTAGACGTTATTATGATTACAGCTGAAAGAATAAATCAGATTAATCGATTATTGAAATAATTATCAATTAAATCGTTAATCCATCTATCACTACCGGGTGTCTGATAACTATTTCAGGGTCAGTCTACCGTGTGCTAACAGCAAAATCAACAAGAACAAATCCGTATTTTTCAAATTAATCACTGAAGACATCCTAGATTTTCCTGAAACCCTTGCTAATAAGAAAACATGCACTTATTTAAGCATACATGCTGTCTAATGTAAAGATATAGTGGACGGTCTTTGAGCTTTGAATTTGGGGGGGTGTTACTCATTGGTTGTGCCACGTGCCAGTCTTTGTGGTGTGCTAACCTAATGCCAGTGCACATGCTCTGACTTTACAGGCACACTTCTAGTTTTGATGTGTCCGGTTAAATTCGGTTGTAATGCCGATTTGTTTCTCGCAATGATGAAAGATCAGGTGGGATAGACTTTAGTAGTTATTGAAAAGGTGGCTTAGGGGTCTCTTAGCTACATTTCAGGAGGAAAAGCATCCACTTTACATTTAATCAAACATGGCTCTTCATGACATTAATATTAAAGAATATTAAATGGGTTTGGTTTTAGTTTATTTCTAATGACATGGGACACTCCTAGATGGCTTCCAGAGGCACTTACCTTTGCAGTCCCGAACCAGTTTCCGTCATGCTTATCCCGAGCTAACCTGACTCCGCCAGATGGATTTGCTCCACATATCCATCTGGAAACATTCCGTTGAAGTAATTTTGGGAAGGGGCGAAATTACTGGTTATGTTGGTGATAGACGGGCCAAATAAACCAATCAGATCAACGAAGCATATGACGTAACAGAGGAGCCAATTGATAGATCAAACTCTTGCCGAAACCAGTCGGGAGAAGAGCAAAAACATCTTTTCCTCTGAGAAAAGCCTCCAGAGCAGTGTTTTGCTCTTCTTTCAGGGAAGAAATACTCTGTAATTCCGATAAAACTTGCTCGATAGCCACGCTAACGCTAGTTTCATCGGCTGAAGCCGCCATGTTCTTTAGACTGAACTGTCGCGCTTCTCGTTGCGTCACACCTCAACCCGCCTCAAAGCCAACGCTGATTGGACGTTCGTTTGGTGAACTGCTCGAAATTTTCTTTAACGGAGAGTCTCCAGACTGATTAGCGAGTGAAACCTTGAAAGCTTGCGAGGGGTGGCAAAGACTGGCCTTCCTATCTAGTTACCCCCCTGAACAAATGGAATTATTATCTAGAGTGATAATTTCCAGACTCTTAAACATGCTCTTTGAATTTTGCAATAAAAGTTTTTATTTTTATTTTACATATTCAAAATGCTTATTTATTTAGAATTGTTAATTTTGTAAGAGAATCCTTCTAGATTAACCAAATAAATTTAAAATATTATGGATAGATTAATTGATCACTAAAATAATCAATGGTTGCATTCCTAAATATGACTCAAAGGCCTATTCCTCAAAAGAAGAAAAGACTAGAGAACAGAACGGAACATTTGAGTAAAGTTGATTTTCACTCATTAGGGAATTGCTAAAGAAATTGCTGCTCTCATAAGCGTGACCACATGTGCTGTCAGGGCTATGATTTATAACTTTAAAACAAAAATCCAGGACAAGAAGTCGTATTTATTGTCTCAAAAAAATTAAAGAAAAGGGAGGTGGTGAGATTTGTAAAATGAAACCAACAAAGATCGAGCTACTTGTCAAAAAAATTAATAAACGTGCAGGAAAAAATGCCTTGCGACCTCTGCTAGGTACAGTTGATGATATTTGGGTATATTGACCTTTGACACTTCTTTGTATGATGGAGGGTACTGTCAGAACATTATAGATAGACAGCAGTGGACTTTGCCAGGAAACCGAAAATGCTTCACCTCTGGGTCAGGATAATGATCTGAAAACATAAAACCAAAGTACCGAAATCAGGGAGGCCTAAATTGAATGTTGTGAGCCAAATTTTGTATATTAATGAATACATTCTTTGTCTCTTTCTTCTTTTTCTAGTTTACGAACCAGATGAAGACGCTCCTCTTCAGGATTCCATTACAGAAGAAGATGGGGAGATCGAAACTCAAACTGAAGAAGAGGGCTCCGAAAAGACCAGCCCCAAAGCATGTGACGACAGAGAGCTGGACAACAAGAGCGTCAACACCTACAGCAACCAGAACTCCCCCGTCAGCGTCCTCTCCAACCAAGAGTTGGAGCTGGAATCTCGCCTCAGCGACAGCAGTGACAGACTCTCAGACTTTAAAACGTCTTCGCCGCCAGAGAGCCAGAGAGACGAAGAAAGTCGAGGTTCAAAACATAAAGAGGAGACGGGCAGCAGCCTGGAGAAAATGAGGGCAGCCTATGCAAACTTTCTCTCTGACTCCTACTGGACGGGAATCGGCGTGGACTTGAAAACGGGCAAAAATACCAGCAAAGCCAACTGTGACAGCACCAACGGGAGCAGCAAGAATGAGTTTGACTGGCACCAGGATGCGCTCTCAAAGACCTTGCAACAGATGCACTCGCCTAAACCAGCTACCAAGCCCAACCTGTTCAGCTCGGTCCACCTGTACAGGCAGGCGTCCAAACCATGTGGTTCAGTGTTCACAGGAGCCAGCCGCTTTCGCTGTAAGGACTGCAGCGCCGCCTATGACACGCTGGTGGAGCTGACCGTCCACATGAACAAGACCGGACACTATCAAGACAATAACCACAGCAAGCAAAGTAACTCCTCTGCCTCATCATCTAAGTCTCGGAAACGTAATTTGCAAGACATGGAAGGGAAGGAGGATGCGCAGAAAGTTTTAAAGTGCATGTTCTGCGGTCATTCGTTTGACTCGCTGCAGGATCTAAGCGTGCATATGATCAAAACAAAGCATTACCAAAAAGTGCCTTTAAAAGAGCCTATCCCAGTAATCACACCCAAACTGCTGCCGCCGGCAAAGAAACGGGTGTTTGAAACAACAAGGCCCTGCTCTCCAGACTCCACTACCGGTGTGTCAGGGTACGCCGAGGCGCAGCGATCCGCCACCCTTTCCAACGCCAACAACAATCGCTACGGATATCAGAATGGAGCCAGCTACACATGGCAGTTTGAGACATGTAAGTCTCAAATTCTTAAATGTATGGAGTGCGGAAGCTCTCATGACACACTTCAGCAGCTCACCACGCACATGATGGTTACCGGCCACTTCATCAAGGTCACAAACTCTGCATCCAAAAAGGGGAAACAGCTAGCGCTTGACCCCCTGGCTGTGGAGAAGATCCAGGGTGTTGTTGAGCCTGCAGCAAGCGATACGGAAGGAGAAAAGGTGTCCCTAAAAAGCCTCTCCCCTAGAAGCAACGACAAAGAAAGCCAGGGGGAAGGAACATCAGACAAAGCAGAAGAAACAGAAACGACAGATGACAAGCAGGAGAGTGAGGATCCAAAAGAGAGCAACGGGGCCTTTAAGTACCCTTATCTCCGTGAGGAAGACCTAGAACAAGAGTCGAGTGGGGGAGGGGACATCCTCAAATCTTTAGCCAACACCGTGGCTTCAGCTATTAATAAGGCCCAAACAGGCACCCCCAGCTGGAGTGCCTACCCGAGCATTCACGCTGCCTATCAGCTCTCTGGCATCATCAAAAACACCCCTCTCTCCTCGTCGTCTCCCGTTCAGCTAAAGCAGACATTTAACCACAAGCTGAGGCCGATCGCCCCGAAGGGGAAGCTGTACCACGGTGCTTTGGGAGTCGAGCTTTCCCAGGGGCTACATCAAAACGTGGACATCAAAAAAGAAAAGGTTGGCATTAACGACGGTAAAGAAAGTCAGAGTATAAAGTTTGATCTGCTGGAGAACGATGACAGCGATTGTCAGGATGATTCCTCCTCCTCTTCAAAGCTCGATGCAGACTGCATGAATGAAGGAAGTGAAGCGATCAAAGGCAAGTTGAGCCCAGATTTCTCTGACAGAGGCAAGACGCCGAGCCCCGCTGCCAGCAACGGACGCAGCACTACATCAGAGCCTCTCAGTGACACTCCAGATATACTTGGCATCAACCCTCTAAGTGCGCTACAGTCAGTTCTGAACAATCATCTTGGCAAAGCAAATAAGCCCAATAACTCAAGAGCGGATAAATTATCTGCACACGCCCAGTCAATCTTTGCAGAGTTTAACCGTAGCAGCGAGAAGCCACCTTTAATGCTTGGAAGTCCTCCAAGAAACAGACCTAATAAGACTTTCCTCATGATTAATGATGACCAACCAATAGATCTGACTAAATCTAAGCATAGCAAGGCGAACACTTTGTTGCTAGGGCCTTCTACCCCAACGCCGCAGAAATACGCTCTGTCTGACATCGCTGACATGGTTAAGGTACTTCCTAAGGCCACAACACCAAAACCCTCCTTACCATCAAGGATTCCGACCATGAAGCTGGAGTCAGACGTCAGACGCTTCGAGGACGTGTCGGCCGAGGTGTACTCAGTCCACAAACGCAAGGGCAGGCAGTCCAACTGGAACCCACGACACCTTCTAATCCTGCAGGCTCAGTTTGCCTCGAGCCTCTTCCAGACGTCCGAGGGGAAGTATTTGCTCTCAGATCTCGGCCCTCAGGAAAGGATGCACATCTCCAAGTTCACCGGGTTGTCAATGACAACCATCAGTCACTGGTTAGCGAATGTAAAGTATCAGCTGAGGAAAACGGGAGGAACCAAGTTCTTGAAAAACATGGACACCGGCCATCCGGTGTTCTACTGCAACGACTGCGCTTCCCAGTTTAGGTCACCAACCACGTTCATTTCCCATCTGGAATCCCATCTGGGTTTCCAAATCAAAGACATGTGCAAAATGCCGGTAGAGCACCAGACGAAGGTGGAGGAGCCGGAAATGCTGAAGGCCCTCAGCGTCAGAGCCACCGACTCTCTGGTGTCAGAGGAGGACATTGACTCTAAGTTTAAGTGTAAGCTCTGCTGTCGGACATTTGCGAGCAATCACGCGGTAAAGCTCCATTTGAGTAAAACTCACAGCAAATCCCCAGATAACCATTCACAATACGTGGAAATGGACAAGGAGTGACGTTTTGTATGGATACTCTTTGTATGGAACTTTTATCCCTTTCTTCCTTTTTTTTTTCATTTTATTACACGGGTCAGATATTTCAACCAGTTTTTTTAATTTAGCGTTGTATGGTCTACATCATCATGACTTTTGGCAAAAAAAAAAGAAAGACACACTGGTTCAAGACTCTGTGAGGAAACACTAAAATACTTTTTGCACCCAGCTCAAAGGCACCACCAGTAATGAAATGTATTACTGCTTGAAGAAACATAAATGCTGATGTTTGCATGCAATAGCCCTGGCTATGACTACTATTTATTTGTATATGTCAACTTTCAATTGTATTTTGAAGTAAAACAAAAAAATAATAATAATAATGAGCTAATTGAACTACTTGTACGAACTCTGTGACACAGTATAGCTGCGCAGATGTGCAGTTTTTGAAGCAGGTAGCCCGAAACATCATCACACACGGAGAACTGTAGAGTGTATCGCTATATCAAGATGTTTTGTGCCGCAACGATAGAAGAAGAACATTTTAAAAAAGCACTTTAATAAATGTTTAATCACCGGTTAAGACGCAGATTATGTACATTTCTCTAAAACAATTAGATTGTTTGGAAGCCAGGACGTTTCACATGTACATATATTTTAGGAAAACATAAAAAAATAAAGTCAGTTTCATGCAACAGTGAGAACAACATGACACCTGTGATTACCTGCACCTTTTTTTACTTATTCAAATAAAGAGTTAACATTTGATAACGGCTTGTTTTTGTGTTTTGTTAATTGCATTTGTCGTTTCCTTTTTTTGCAGATGACGTTATGACGCTGCAAAGATTTTATCAGTCACTTGAAAACCAGCATTTAACAGTACAGACCTCAGAGTGCTCAAGTAAAAGTAGCACTGTTTTAAAATGTCTACTGGAGTTAATATAAAGCATAGCTATCAAAGAGATAAAAAAGTAAGAATGGAAAAGTATTTGGTATAAAGGCTACTAAAGTACTGAGTAACTGTTTTACTATTTAAAATGATGCAATAAGATAAATCCTAAAATACAAATTCACTAAAGTACACTCACTCACTAAAGTATTCATTTATATATATATATGAAGTGAAGTAGGTCAATTAAAATAATTTTATTATTTATATTTAATTATCAATTAATTTTATTTTATTATTTTTTTATTTAATGGGTTATTGTTCATTTCCTAACTCAAAAGTTTAATTAATATTTGAATCAAGCCCTGGAGACAAACAGGACATACAACCATTCACGCACACACTCACACCTAATCTAGAGAAGCCAATTAACCTAACAGTCATGTTTTTTGGACTGTGCGAGGAAGCCGGAGTACCCGGAGAGAACCCACATATGCTCAGGGAGAACATGCAAACTCCATGCAGAAAGACCCCGGGCCAGGAATAGAACCCAAAACCTTCTTGCTGCAAGGCTGCAGTGCAAAATGTGACATTTTAGTACAGTCTCTGTTGTTTTAATATTAAATTTAACTGCTAAACCGTTTATGCACTGGAAAAAAACAATCTAGAAATAAGTAAAAAGTTCCTTAAATTAAGTATATTTACCCTTAATTTGAGTAGGTAAATGAGTTAGTTTGCCAATGGAATTAGTTTTTTTTTTTCTTAAAATAAGATAATTAGATAATATGAACTTTAAATAAGATAACGCAATTGTGTTCTGTAATTTTAAGTGTAAATTGTCTTGTTCCATTGGCAAAATGTCACTTTTACCTCCTCTATCAAGGAACAAATGCACTTAATTTAAGAAATAATTACTCATCTAGATTTCGATTTTTTTCCAGTGTGACGTGGAGGTCAAGGCAATCTTGGTGCAGTTTACTTCAGTAGAAACTCACCTTTATACGACGGAATATTAGCACTAGGCTAGAGATTTTTTTTTTTCTATTTCAAGAATAAAGTTACATAACCAGAATAAAGTCATACAATTTCGAGAATAAAGTCATAAAATTACGAGAATAAAGTCGTAACATTATGAAAATAAAGTCATAAAATTCTGAATATAAATTTTTTAAATTATGACAATAAAGTAAAATTACGAGAATAGATCATAAAATTATAAGAATAAATTTGTAAAATTACGAGAATAAAGTCCTAAAATTACGTGAAAAAGGTTGTATTTTATGGCAACTCTTACATGGACTTTCTTCAGTAAAATGAGGAATGTTTAGCATCATGTTAAGTTATAGTTTGTCATTGGTTTGATAAATAAGGACATTTTTTAGCATTAGATTGGGCAAGATGTCAAAGTGGACTCTGGTTGCTGATTGGTGGAGCTGATTGCCCGTCATCTGCTGGTTGGAGCTTGAAGTTTTCCTTCTGAAATGGGTTGTGGTGTGATGACTAATTATAGAAGGAGATAATGATTAGGGCAGTGGGCCCCCTTTCAATTAGAAAGAAAAAAATTTACAAAGACAACCACAGTAAACCATATTGCAAAAAAAACTATAAAAAAAATACCCTTAAAAAAATCTAAAAATAAAATAATAAAAAGTACCTTTTCATTTTACAGTCTAACAGAATTTATCATTACCATCAATATTTACTTCTCAAAACTGGCAATTGCCGCAATTATAAAAAAAAATTGTACTTTAATTCTGTTCCACTTTGTTTTGTAGATTCATTTTGAAATATATTTTGAAGGAGAAGCTGTAGCTGTCACCTTTAAGCACAAGAATAGAAAAAAATTTTGGTGCAATTTAAAATCTGAAGAATGAAAAAGGTTGGTTGGTGTGAGCTCTTTGATCAAACCTAAAAAACGAAGAGGATGTTCTCTCCACAAAGTGTGACTCCAGTCCTACATCATTCCTTAAAGGATGCTAGCGTTAGCTCACCTCGCTGTCGTCACTCCTGCGAGGGCTGATCCCAACAATCAGCAAAATCAGCACTGGAAAAATATAAAAATCTAGATACGTAATTCCTTCTTGTAATAAGTGCATTTGCTCTTGAATTGATGATGAAAAAGAGACATTTTTCCAATGGAACAAAATAATTTAAAATCAGAAAGAGCAGTTGCATTGTCTTATTTCATGTGCATGTTATCTAATTATCTTATTTTAAGTGTAAAAATAGTCACTCCATTGGCAAACTATTTCATTTACCTACTCAAATTAAGGGTAAATACACTTAATTTAAGATTTTTTATTTTTATTTTTTTCACTAATTTCTAGGTTGTTTTTCCAGTGAGGAGATGCTGCTGCTAGTGTAACTTTTTACCTTTGGTGTAAGGCAGGATGGCTAACTGCTGTTACTAATGCCGCATCCACATAAATGTGCAACCATACTGGTATAATTCTGGTGCAAACCATCGCAAAAAGAAAAAAAATTCTATTAAAATGGATCAGAGTGAGAATGCACCAGTGGTGCAGGGAATACACATGCAACCCAAGTTCAGACTTCAGTCTTAGAAGCAGCCCCATGGTGGAAAGGTTCGAGTCCTGGCCTGTTGACCTTTGCCCCATGTCTTCCTCCTCTCTCTGATCCTCTTTAAGCTTTTTTTCGTCAAAAGATGATTCAATCTGAATTTAATCACATAAGTAACACTGCTAATTATGCAAATGTTGCTAAAGCTACATGCACACACATTAAAAATAAAAAAAATTATTTGTAAAATATCCAATTATAACTACTTTAAATCATTAAATATAACAAAAACTAAGGGTGGAAATTAGCTGCCGGTTCTCTAATGGAGTAGAAGCACCTGAGTACACATCTGTAACCTTTATCAGATTTCTACTACATCTAAATAAAAGAAGAGTTCGGTTTGTTGATGTGTTTAAGGACTGATAAAAAGTTGGAATTCATTATTTTGATAAATTTAATAAACAGGAAACAAACAATTTTTCTGGATTTGACCTGCAAATCACTGACCAGAACTCCTTCACTGGAAAAACGATCTAGAAATAAGTTAAAATTTCCTAAATGAAGTGTATTAACCCTTAATTTTAGTAGGTAAATTAGATACTTTGCCAGTGGAATGAGTATATTTACTTTTAAAATTAGATAATTAGATAATTTGCACTTGAAATAAGACAATGCAATTGTGTTTTCTTATTTTAAGTGGAAGTTGAAAATGTCCCTTTTTACTCCTCAATCCAAGAATAAATGCACTTATTATAAGAAAAAATGACTTATCTAGATTTCAATTTTTTCCAGTGTTACAGTCACTCACCACTTGTTTATTGCATCATTAGATAAAAGCTACGATCTAAAGTCAACTTCTTCCTCATCTCATCTTGTTTTCATTTCCACAGAGAAGTTCCTGCATGGAAGACAAGGGCCGCCATCCTCAACGGCACGCCACCATCCTCTTTCACCTTACGACTTTTAGATACTCTTGAAAGATCTATCCTCCTGTCAGACTTTATTGCTTCCCTGTGAACGCTGCAGCCGCTGCCACCGCAAGATACTATCATAACAATTAAACATATTTCCTCCAGCTCTATTATTTCAAAGCTATTAAAAATAATTGCCTCCTAAATTCATAAACATTTTATGCAATTCATCTATTTTCAAGCAATCAAGTCCTCAATTACCTCCACCCATCAAACTCTGTTTTATAACAAGCAACTGACATTTGATGGTAAATGGGGAAAAGCACATGGGCTCTGTGGTGATTTGAATGCTGTGACACCGACTTGCCCCCTATTGTTGGAAATGAGGAGGCAATCACGTTGTTCATCAGATGACTCCTAATGCAGTTAAAGTATTCAGCTATAATTCCTCCCTGCATTTATAATTACTGTCAAAGACCACACACCTCAGTGAGCAGATTAAAGCTATAAATTATTTAGTGCCTTGAAATAAGAGAATGCAATTGTGTTTTCTTATTTTAGGTGTAAATTGTCTTGTTCCATTGGCAAAATGTCTCTTTTACCTCCTCAATTCAAGAACAAATGCACTTATTTTAAGAAAAAAATACTGATCTAGATTTCGATTTTTTCCAGTGCATATATTGCAAAAATGACTTACACTGGAATAAATCTAAATCTAGATAAGTCATTATTTCTTTAAATAAGTGCATTTGTTCTTGAATTTAGAAGGTAAAAGACATATTTTGCCAATGAAACAAGACAATTTACATTTAAAATAAGAAAACACAATTACAATGTATTATTTCAAGTGTATTTTATCTAAATATCTTATTTTAAGAGTAAAAATACTCATTATATTGGCAAACCATGTAATTTACCTACTCAAATTATGGGTAAATTCACTCAATTTGAGTAATTTTTATGTTTATCGTTTTTTCAGTGTAGAAATAAGTACAAATTTCTTAAATTTACCCTTATTTACCTTTATTTGAGCAGGTAAATAAGACAATCTGCCAATAAGATTAGTATTTTAACTCTTGAAATAAGAAATTGTAGTTGTTTTTTTGTTTTAAATGTAAATTGTCTTGTTCCATTAGCAAAGTGTCTCACTAACCTTCTCAATTCAAGAATAAATGCATTATAAGAAAAAATGACTTATTTGAAGTGCATTTTTTAACACGCTAAATATCCTGCAACTAAAAAAAACATGCAATGCAATAGAGAAGAACATACTTTTTACTTAAACATCCAAAAAAGAATGTTTGGGATCGTAAGGAAATCTTTTTTCCAAATAAAATGATCCTGTTATGATGAAATTAATGAGATTTTAAATCTGCAATAATAATTTAAAAAACATGTCAAATATACACTGGAAAAAAATCAAAATCTAGACAAGTAATTTTTTCTTT